GTGCATGCGTGACCAGTCCGTGTTATCCTTGCCTCTCAACGAAAGATCATGCAATTTCTCCGGATGAATAGGAGGCGCAGGAATGTGTTGGACCATCCCAAATTGTCGCATTACACGATCTGCATAATGATATTCGACGATGTGGAAATTAATCAACGGGACTGTTGACCTCCATACATGTGAGTCCTCCAAACAGTAAGGAGGTAATGTAGGTAGTAACTCCAAGTATGGTTGCCATACAAACTGCAAAATAACCAATCAATTAAGTACTTACGAATTATCATTTATAATCACAATTTTTTTATCAAAATCTTCAATATAATATTCTAATAAAATACTTACATCCTCTCTTTTTAAACGGTCAAAATAGTCTCTATACTTCACAATTTTTTCTTTTGTTTCCTCTCTAGGTTTATGCAAGGCATTATTCCACCTGTTATAAAAACAAAAAAACCATCAAATCTTCAACTTCCAAATTAATTCTAAATATATTTATTCTAAAATCGATCACAAGTAATATAGTTACTAACCTTGCCCCTAGAGGAACATGAAATGTAGATAAAGGTGGATGAGGTGGTGCAATAAATGGAAACCGATACCATGCCCATAATTGCAGTAAAATACCTGACCCAGCAATTTCCTTGTGATCATAATTCGTCGCCACACACAACTCCCTGTACAAATTTGCCAGGACGCATGACCCCCAACTCATTTGACCACAAACATCTAGGTCTTCGAGGAAACTCAAGTATCTGAGGGATACAAACGCGCTAGAGTGATCAGTTAATAAATATCCCCCGATCATGCGTAAAATGAACGCTCTAGTATAGCGTTCCAACTGTTCCTGACTATGTATATGCTCAGAAACATCCGAAAACTGCTGGTCAATCCACCTCATCCTCAATCTACCCCCAACAAGCATTGCCTCAGGTGGTGTCATCCCAAGAAGGCGCTGCACAAGAGCTCCCCAATCCATACTTGCGTATCCAGTAATGGGTGCCCCAGAGATCTTCAACCCAAGTAAAATTGCAACATCCTCCAACGTGATAGTACACTCGCCGAAGGACATGTGAAACGTGTGGGTCTCTAGTCTCCATCGCTCAACTAACGCAGATATTAAATGATTATCCACAGGAAAGTAACTAATCTGCGCCATCCCCAGAAATCCAGCCCTCTGTAAAAGATCCTGAACAGCAGCTGGAATGACACCACCACGCAACTCTGATTGTTTTGCACTCCTAACCTTCAGAACCCTATCCTCAGCTCCATTCCATATATGCTCAGATATATGAAATGGCTGAAGCCTTAATAATGAATCATCCATAGGTCCTGCATGAATAATCTGTCTAGACATCCTGATATAATTCAACAAACAAACAAATTAAATTAACTCAAACAACAATTTATTTCTAAATTTTATAAATACCTAAATACCTAATTTAAACCCTCATAATAATTCAACATTTTAAATTGAAATCATTCATTACTGCAATGAGAACGGGCCGTTCTGGTTTCAGAACGGGCCGTTCTCATTGCACAAAAAGTGTATAAATTTGGGTTTCGGAACGGGCCGTTCCGAAAACAGAACGGGCCGTTCTGAACCCATCCATACTTCACTAAATGAAACAACGAGAACGGCCCCACAACGGCTCGTTCTACTTTCAGAACGGCCCGTTCTAAAAGTAGAACGGGCCGTTCTGATTTCACAACTGCCCGTTCCACATCCAAAATAACACCCATTTACTTTATCCAGAACGGCCCGTTCCAAAAACAGAACGGCCCGTTCCAAAAACAGAACGGGCCGTTCCACACCCACAAACGAGTGACGAAGACCCCTCAGCATTTTCTATTTATATTTTTTTCTTACTTTAAAATAATTAAAATTCAAAACATACCTGATAAACGTCTAAATAAACTTGTGTGAGCAAAAAATGTGAGCAAAAGCGCCGGAACCTCAAGCGTTTTTGCACAAATATTATCAGCACCTCCGCCATCTCCCACCCACGAGCATCATTTAAACGAATGAGGGAAGGAGGAACAGTGCACAAATGGCGCCTGGGGGGGAGGCGCGTTCAGTGCATGCCACATAGGCACACATGGCGCCTGGGGGTGGGGCGTTGTGCATGGCGCCTCCCCCCTGGGCATTTTCTTTGCACAATGCCTCAGCATGGATGGCGCCTGGGGGGGAGGCGTTTTCAACACAAACGTGCCACGTGTGCATGGCGCCTCCCCCCTGGGCGTTTTCTTTGCACAATGCCACCTCAGCATGGATGGCGCCTGGGGGGGAGGCGTTTTCTATAAAATGCCCAACCCCCAGGCGCCATCCATTCCCAATCAGCGCTGACATGTCCAAAACTACCTATTTTGATAAATTGTTTTTTTTTAATTTATTTTGTGTATTTTTATTTTTTTTTTAATTACTTGGGTCAAAAAGCCCATTCCTTTAAGACAAATGGGCTTTGTTCATTTAATTGGCATGGTTCTTCAATTCATTCTAGATCCTATATTTATATACTTGTCCTTTTTGTCTGGCGTTTCAGGTGTACAGGGGTGTGCGTGTAGTGACCAGCCGGGTCGTTACAAGTAACAATGGATAAATACTAGATATAGAACTCAAAGAACTAGGTTCAAGCAATTACCAACTTAAGCATGACTTTTAAGAATTTGAATAAATTGAGAAGTTGAAAAAGTAAATTTATAAATTGAAAACAAGACTATAAAGCTTTTGTTAAAAATTCAGAGATTAAAACTTTAGAGTTGTGACTTATTGTTTCCCTCCCAAGATAAAATTCATGAATTGATGAGACATGTCACCAATTATACTTCTGAAATTGTTAACAACACTATGATTCCAAGAAGCTAGCAGTCTTAAGAAAAATCTAAATTGATTGTAAGAGTTTTATTCTAAAAACAAAACATATGCACACATAAGCGAATTAATAAATGAATTCAATTGAAAATTAAGAAAACAACTTGATTGTATCAATTTTTAAATAATTCAATTATTTTAAGATTCTGTTAATTAAAAGAGTTTGATCATGCAACTTTCAATTAACTAAAATAAGAATTGGAAACGTTAAAATGATATGACAATTTAACAAGATGAAATTCATGAATTTATCATTATCACAACCCTAGAATGAAAGAAAAAGAGAAATTATAAAACTAAAACTAAAAGAATGGATTAAAAATTGGATGATTACAATGTTTCATGACATTCTTATTTATAATCAACAAAATTTGAGACAGACTCCTAACACAATCATGCACATGAGAAGCATAGCCATGCATATATGACGTGCTTTACTGATGACTAGCATGCTTGCTTGACAATCAGGGTGTGCTCATTTGGTTAAGCACGATTGTGAATGTTAGTAAGTATGGTGGTGCTTCATTGTATGATACGAGAGACACAAGTGTGCTTCAAAAGAAAGGCGTGCTTTTATTGGCCAAGCATAGCCATGCATGAGAGTAAGCATAATCGTGCTTCTTAATAGGAGCTAGTTGTCCACACTGTTGTGGTCCAATTGCTACATAATTGTGCATATTTCACTTAAATTTGAATTTTTCCTTTTTTTGCACACTTAGATAAAATAGGGGAGTATTGCCAAAGAATTATCATTAAAATAGGAAAAAGTAACCGTGAATAATATGTTATTATGCAATAATTTGAGGGTTTAATAAAAGTAGGACCAAAATTTTGTATTTTTAAAATTAAAGAGATTAAATATCTCTATTTTAAAATAGGAGGACCAAACTTGTGAATTAACAAAAATAAAAGGATCATTAGTAAAAAAAATTGAAGATGTTTTATAAAATCATAATTCTTCACATGTCTTAAGGATGAAACATTTATATCGTACTTTATTGTTGGATGATCACCATTCTACACATCTCAAATAACTTGTTAGATTATCATATTATAATAACTTTTGTCATCATTAAAACTATGATATATATTTTAGGAGTTGAATATTTCAAAGACCATTGGTTCAACATGCTTACCCTGTACTTAGCATCAATTGCAAAGAGCTAGAGAGTTGGGGATGCTCTCTACCTCTCTCACCCTTGGTGTCAAGGGGTTCAAAACAAGACTTCCCGCTAGAAGTATTATGTTAAGTATGAGATTTTTCATGCTCAAGGTCTCACAATAAGTGGTTTCCCACACTTAGGATGCGTTTGTTACACGAAAATGTTTTCATACTTAAAAATCATTATGAGAATCATAAATCACAAAATTTATGATTTCGAGGAATCATTAAAAAAAAATTGGGGTCATAATTGCTTTTAAGAATGTTTTTAAATATTACATGAAAATTAAGGTTTTTTTTATTGCATTAAATAAGTAAATAAAGGTAACATGATGTTATTAAGGTATTAAAACTTTATTTTTTTATCTTGGAAAAGCTAGTTTCTTACTTCCTTCATGGGAATAATTTCATGAAAACCTATACAAAAACTATTTTCGAGAAATAATGTTTCATGAAAATGTTATTTTTTACATAGCAAACCAAACACGAGAAACTAATATTATTAGCATCAAATTCCTAAAAAGGTTAAAAAAAATAAATGTGTACTAAATGTCTCCCTAATGTCAACTCAATTTTGAAAAATAGGATTTTCCCAAACATCTCAATTTACCCAAATAGGGATGACAATGGGTAAGGTCTTATAGTACCCGTCTCATACCCACGTTTAAAAATAATACTTGTATTCAGTTTCAAACCCGCATTTTAATATACATTCCCATACCTGCTAGTAGAGCTGTCAAAGTGGGCTCCAGCCCGTGGGTCAACCCGGCCCACCTTGAAAACGGGCCGGGCCGGGCCAAAAAAATGGAAAAATTTATGATGGGTCAAAAAATATGACCCGACCCACTTTCGAAATTAACATAATAAAAGTTGTAATTAAACTTCCGATATCATGATAATATGTTAACAATATTAATTCTCCAAGAATTGTGAGAAAAAAAATTTTACATAAATTAATTAGATTAAAATTATAGATTAAATTATATACTATAGATTTCAAAAAAAAAAAAAATGTAGACATTTGACCTTATCATTGGAATGAACTTCTCTATATTTTTGCAAATGCTTGTCTTCCAAGTCTATATATTATTTTTGTCTAGTAATACCAATAGAAACTACATGACAAGAAAATGAATGATTAGATAATTTAAATTAATAATTAAAATCAATAAATAAATAAAACAACTATTATTAAATAAACAAAATTTTTAATTATTTATTACCTTATTTCTTGTGTTTCAATCAACTTTATGCACATATAAGTGTCTCTAGAGTAAGTTCATAGAGCCTAAAACGACAAGGACTCAAAAATCTACCTTTTGTGTTATATGTAAATTCTAAAGCTATAGTTGAAATTGGGATTACCAAAACATCCTTAGCAATATTTTTGTAAAATTGGATACTTGATCCCATTTGTTTTCCACCATCCAAGAATGTCAAAAGTAGTACTTCTAGGCAAAACCTTTTTTTTTCCAAGTAAAACTCTATTTCAAACTTGGTTTGTGTTTTAATTGTATCATTCACAAATGAGTCTTAATTACTAAGAAAATTATTAATATTTAGATTATCTAAATTTGATTCATTGACATTTGCTCGTGAAGTTGAACTTTTCACTATTCCTTTCTTTAGTTTGATACTGTTCAAACAATGAATAGTATAATTTCTTGATATTATTAATTTTTATTAAAGATGAGTTATCATAAAACTTCAAAAAAAAAAGTACTTTAACAACTTCAACTTGTATCTTAGATCTAAAATAATAGAAATATTATTATATTAATTAATATATATATATATATATATATATAATAATTTTTGAATTATATATAGATAAAACTAACATGGTATAATATTAAAATAAATTATTTTCCATTGTAGTAAAATTAAATATTTAAAAATAATGACGATATAAAATAAATATTCCAAGAAAATAAAAAAAATAAAAAAGTTATTAAATAATAAAAAAATTCTTAAAATAAAAGAAACTGGTTGATATTTTTATATATTTTAAAAATAAATTCAAACTAGTATTAAAAATTCTTAAAATCATATATATATATATATATATATATATATACTTTATAAAAGTAAAAGTTAGTCAAATTTTAAATATTTAACAGTGAATCAAAATCGATTAATACCAGGTGTAAGTCTTAACATTTACATCAAATCTTATACTTTTAATAATTTTTTGTATATTACAAATTTAACCAATCCAACTGTTGAATCATGTGATATTTTACTCAAAATCATGTATATGAAATTTCACATCATTTGAACTTTTCTACATATGTTATCTAAAATTGAAAATTTACACTTATTTTATATACCATGTTATACATTAAAAATAAAACAATGTGATGAACTACTAAATAATTTTGGAATCATGTAAAATTTGATATACTTGATCTTAAGCATAATATCATTTTATTCAATAGTTGGATCAATTAAATTTACATTATAGAAAAAGTTAAAGATATAAGATTTGATATATGTGTTCAATCTTACATATTATGTCAATGGATCTTGACTTTTTATAAATAGTTTTCAATATTCGATAATTAAAGAAAATTATTGATATTTTTTATGTCAACATTGAAAGAGAGAAAAGGGAGGTATGAGAAAGAAGAAGGAGAAAATATGAGAAAGAGAGAAGCAATAAAGAGAAGAAACAAAGAGAAGAGAGGAGAGAGAAAAGAAAGAGGGAAAGGTGGAGAGAAAAGAAAAAAGAGGAGACAAGAGATAAAAGTTAGAGAGAAAAGAAATATATATATATATATATATATATATATATAGAGAGAGAGAGAGAGAGAGAGAGAGAGAGGGAGAGAGAGGGAGAGAGAATGGAAAGAGGACAAAATTAAGAGAGAGAGAGAGAGAGGAGAGAGAGATAAAAACAAGAGGGGAGAGAGAATGGAGAGATAAAAGATATATAAGTTAGAAAAGATGAGAAAAGTATGAAGAATTTTAAATTCTTAATTTTTTGAGGGATTTTGAAAATTCTACAATATTAAATAATTTTACAAATATTTTGAATTTCATTTTTTATATAAATTTTCTATCTAAACATAACATTTTAACTCCAAAACATTTGAAATTCATAAAAAAGAAATAAATAATTTTCTTAAAATATTTTGCTAAACACAAAATCAAGACAACCAATATTCACAAAACGTCAAAAGAAAATAAAATAGTTATATTAAATTCCTATAAGTATAAGACCAATTTCACTATCCACAATTCAAATTCATATCTCGTGAGAGAGACAACTCACTTCTTTTTATCTTAAAAAAATGTTTTCTTCATAACAAGGATGTGAACGTCAAACCATTTCCAAAAAGCTTAAATATATTTTTAATTAGTTCCTATAAAATGAGCATATTTCTATTTTTATCTTTGTAAAAAAAATATTTAGTTTTCATCCCTCTAAAATTTGAAATTATTTGTTTTAGTCTCTACTACTATGTGACCCATTTTTAACTACTAACGTGTTCATTAGGAATTTATGTGATCACCTCAAGTAATACTTCCAATTGTTTATGATACTTTCTTTGTATGTGACACTTTTACTTTTTTTTTTTTACAGATCCTTAAAATAAGGATTATATATACCTTAAAATGATCATTAAAAATAAAAATAAAAAAATTTTAAATTTTAGAAGAATGTAAAAAAAAATATTTTACTGAGATCAAATTTTGAAATTTACTTATTTTACAAGGACTAAAAATAATATTTATAAATTTTAAAAGAATAAAATACAAAAAAAAAATTTATAAAAATTAACATCAAAATTTACTTACACACGAACTAAAAGCATATTTAAATTTTTTTAAAATAATAAGTGTCACGTCTTATAAAGTACATATAATTTTCCTGTCACATAAGAAATGTCTTGAAAGAAAAAAGAAAATTTCAAATAAGTGTCAATTTATTAAGTTTTCAATATAATATTAATTTTTTTATTTATACCACAAATAAATATTATTGTTTTGTTGCACTGTTTTCAATAAAGAAAATCAATTTCCTTGAAAATGAATCTTTGATGTATGACCAAGAAATAGATTTATAGAATTTTTAAAAAAATAATTGAATAAAATTGCTATACTCTTTTATATATTTACAAACATTTCTTTGTCGATAAAAAAAAACTTATAATGACGTTTAAATTATGGAATGAAGGAGTATACATTATAAATTAAACAAATAATAAAATATTTATTAAGGAGCTAAATAAAGTAATAGTATTATGTTCAATTTTATTTTAAAAAAGTAAAATAAAATAAAATGAACGTTGTTTCATTATTTTATTTAAAGTAAAATATGTTTTTAGTTTCTAAAATTTTTAATTTTCAATTTAATTATGTCTTCCAAAAAAAATATCTTATTTTTTTCCGCTGATTTAGAAATATCTAAAGTTTGATTCTCAAAGTGTATTTTGTGATGATTTATATTTGTCATTAAATAATAATTATAACTATTTTGAGAAAGTATTTTCAAATTAGAGAGACGGAAATACAAGAACATTTTAATGGAAGACTAAAACTGATTTTTTTTTTTTTGAGAATGAAAAAACATTTTTACCATTTTAATTACTATATATTTTATAATCAGCATCCCCACAATGTCCCACAGAAGATATTATTTTGCAAGCTAAGTCATCCATTATTACTCGCCCTGCGTAACTACAACTTGTTGGAGAATATTTATGGGCCAATTTTGAGTTGGGACCCCTTTTCTCTTGTGAAGGAGAACACTTCTTTGAAGTGAACAAGGAATATGCAGCAAAACAGTACTTTGTAAAAAACCTAAATATAAGGAAAAATGTAAATCTTCTCACAGCATCATTCTATTAATATTTTATGTTTTATATGATAAATATTAATTTTTTAAAGATATTAAATATACTTATTTTTATAAGTTAAATTATACTTTTGGTCCTTTATGTTAGTTTTTAGATTCATTTTGATCCTTTATTTTTTAAAAATATTCATTTTGCTCTTTTATCTCCTAAATTTAGATCAATTTGACTCTTTTAAATAATTTTTTGACTCATTAAAACTTGAAACATGTTTCATAAAATTCATTTATATGAAAAATATTGAATGCAATTGAAATTCAAACCAAACGAGATATAAATATGGTGAAAATAAGAATTTTCATATTATTTTCTAATTGTTTATAAGATATATATTTTTTCATAATTTTTACTACGTTTTTAGCCCTTTTGGATTTAAAAGTTGTTCTTACCGGAGATCGATCGTAGGACGATCTTCTGGGCAAGATTGGTGAGCCCCCTTCGCTGCGTATGCTTGCTGCTCCAAAGTGGGGGTGGTACCTGCAAAAGAGACTTCGATGCTAAAATTAGTGTTTGTGGATGTATGGGTCTCGTATAAGTAATGCACGTACCTTTGTGTAAATTAGGGTTTTACTGGGCCTTGGGCCTGAGATCGGTTATAATCTGTTTGGATAGCGGGCCTTGTCTTGGTCGATGTCGCCTAGCGTATATCCGAGGTCTCTCTGCGCTGTGATGCCGAGCTAGAGCTCGGCTTCGCGGTACGGATAGTACACTAGCCTCCCGAGCTCCGAAGACCGCGGGTCGAGGAGTTAATGCCGAGCTCGACAGGGGATCGTGGCTCTTCGCGTACGCTTCTCTGTCGTGATGCCATGTGTCATAACCGTCACCTCGTTCCCATAACGCGTGGGCAGGGTGTTAATGGGAGGTGACGGTTATGTAACGATGGGCACGTTTTGCCATGATGGGGCCCCATTAATGTGTCGTCAGTTATGTTCCCCCTCTCTCCACGTGTCGTCAGTTATGTTCCCCGTCTCTCCACGTGTCGTGTCCGTTTGAATTTTGGGAAACCCCTTTTTTCTCTTGCTCACGCCTTCTCCCCTTCACTTTACTCTTTCGTTCCTTTTCTTTCTTGGCTTCTTGTGCACGCTGAACTTTGCATTCTTCCTTTCATCGTCTCTGTTTGCCTTTGTCGTCACCGTTTCCGGCAATTGGGTCTCCGACGGCAATCAGGTCTCCGTATTTCATCACTGTTCTGTCATTATCAAAGGAGTACCAGGTACTTCATTTTCTCTGTCTTCTCTTCCCGCTCTTTCTCCCTACCAGTCTTCTTCGTCTTTCCCCTTTCTCAAATCCTTCCTGTTCTCGATGGCTGGTAACAGTGGTGTCCCACCTTTCGCACCGACCAAAGGTAAAGGCAAGGCGGTGGCCGCCGAGACGACCGCTGCTGAAAAGAAAAAGGGTGGGAATCACCCTAGGGATCCTTCCCCATCATCACTGGCTACGAATGGGTCAGAGGTGACGTCGGGGAGTTCCATAGCGTCTTCAAGTCCTTTATGGAGATCAATGCGATTTGGAGATCGCATAGGATCTTCCAATCGTCCATTTCTAAGCTCATCCGGCTTGAACCTTGTCAGCCCGATGAGCGTATATATATGGGGGGTATCTCTAATCCCCCATTTTTCTATATGTACCAATGTTTTTTTAGGGATTTGGGCGTATGCCTTCCCTTTACGCAGTTCAAATGCGATTTTTTGACCTTCGTCAATGTGGCTGCTTGCCAACTTCACCCTAACAGCTGGAGTTTTTTGAGGGCTTTTCAAGTCCTGTGCTCGACCCTAGGGATAAGGTTGTCTCTGCCTATTTTTCTTCATTTTTATCAACTTAAATTGGGTGAGCGTCCCTATGGTTGGGCGTCCCTGAATGGGAGTAAGGTTGGGGGGTGTTTTCGCTTTACTCCCAGTCATACAAAAGCTTCAAGAATGAGTTTTTCCGGGTTTTGCCTAAACAGGTCGACCCGTTGAAAGATGAGGTGTTCCACTTCGGCGGGTTGTCGAGGTTTCTCCTTTACTGGCAATAGGATCCGATTAAGTTCAACGGGTCGGCCAATCTTCAACTGACGGCCTCGGATATTGCTGCCATTAATGCTTTAGCCGCGCTTCCTCGTCCTTTGGATTGCAAGCTCGTCCTGTCGCTTGCTAATTCTGCGTACAAGGAGAAGGGCTTAGAGAGTGAGTACCTCGGCACCCTTGGTTGTTGGGCTTTCTTACTTTTTCTTCTTTTTCTTATGTGTTGGATTTTTGTGTTTGCAGGCATCAAGGGGAAAAGCAAGTGGCGCGAGTTGAAAGCCCACTATAATGTCATTGAGATCGAGGTCCCCTAGCTCCTCGAGGAGGAGGTTGCCCCCTTGCAAACCCGCAGAAAAAGAAAGAGGGGAGAGAAGGAGGTCAGGGGGACCTCTGCTCCTCAAGATGCTGAAGAGGTGACGTCGAAGGCTGTTGATGCCGACGCCGTTGACCTAACTAGAAGTCCTCCTCCTAAGGGATCATCTTGAGCTGCCGTGGAGGAGGTCGCTCATGAGGCGAGGTTGGTATCTTTCTTGTTGCTTATTGTTTCTTTTCCCTGTTGCGTAGTTTCCTTGCCTTTTAACTTAGGGAAAATTTTGTTTTGTGTTGTGTGTAGGCGGGGCCTGAGCCAACTACCGTCGAGGCCCGAGTGGAACCGACCTCGGAAACGCCAGGGCTGAACGCCTCCGCTGCCGCGCATGCAGCGCCTGCCCCAACTCCTGTTGAGGTTCACGAAGAGGGGCCGAGCTTGGAGGCCCCAATGCAGATCCTACAGCCACTGCGCCGCCGTCTCGTCCTCTAAAGGAGGCTCCCAAGGGAAAATTCCTTGCTCAACGTTTCGACAAGGATCGCACTTTGACGAGACTGGACCACGTGAGCGCGTCACCGAATGTGGACTCATTGTGGAGTTCAAAGGTGACCGTTGAGACCTTCTACTCGAGGGGGTCGATTCGCTCGGCTGATAAAGCGATGATCGAGAAGGTCGGGCCAGTGGAGAGCCTAGACTCTGTGGAGGTATTTATGCAAAGGTCAATCACTATTGTGGATCACTGGAAACACAAATGGTCGAAGTTGCAGGGGGAGCTCGAGAAAGCGAAAAGCCGTGTGCAGCCTTTGGAGGAGCAGAACCGGGCGTTGGGGGCGGCTCTAGGCGAGGCCAAGAGGCAGAATGAAGCCGAGCTGCAGGCTACGAGGAGGGATCTCGCGAGGGCTCAGAAGTCTTTGGAGATCACCTTGAGGGCTAATGAAGTCTATGCTGCCCAGGTAGGCGAGCTTCAAGAGCTCTCCACTTTCTCTCGGGGTCGAGTGCGCTCCCTTGAAGACAAGGTCTCGGCACTGAAGGCCGAACTGGGGGAAGTCGCTGAGAGGCATCTCTGTGACGAGGTGCTTCTCAGTGGCAAGGAAGAGGAGGTTGTCGCTCTGAGGGCGGACCTTGACAAGCTGGCCGCGGATAAGGCGGAGTTGGAGAGGAAGCTCATCAAGACTGAGCGAGCTGTCTTGTTTGAGCATAAGAAAGGCTTTGTCAAGGCAGCTCGTCAGGTGAGGTTGCTTGCACCCGGGGTCGACCTCTCCGCTATGCATGTGGAGAAAGAGGTACGAGCTGGGCGGCTAGTGAAGGAAGACGACCTCCCTGATAGCTCGAGCGAGAATACCACAGCTTAAGTCGCTTGCTTAGTTTTTCTATTTTTCTCACTTTCTGAACTTGTGTTTTGTATTGATGAACTCGGTTATGTACATAATTTGCTTTGTTTATTTGCGGTTTTCATCTTGCGCTTTCAATGGTTCTATTTTGACCTTTTGTTTTTGTGCTTAAAATTGAATTCGATTTTAGGCTTAATTTTAGCCTGTTTTTGAGGTTTGAAAACACGTTCGAAACTTGTTCTATGTTTTGTGCTTTGGGGCTCAAACTTGGCTCAACGTAAAGTGATTTATGTCAAGGTTCGAATTCGACCTTGGCTTAATCAGAAAGTAATTCATACAAAGGTTCGAATTCGACCTTGGCTTAACAGAAAGTGATTCGTACCAAAGTTCGAATTCGACCTTGGCTTAACAGAAAGTGATTCGTACCAAGGTTCGAATTCGACCTTGGCTTAATCAAAAAGTAATTCGTGCCAAGGTTCGAATTCGACCTTGGCATAATCAGAAAGTGATTCGTACCAAGGTTCAAATTCGACCTTGGCTTAACATAAAGCAATTCGTGTTGAGGTTCGAACTCGATCTTGGCTTAACAGGGTATAATTTGCGCTAAAGCAGTGTAAAATTGATAAGCTATGAGTGGAATGAGTCATTTTATTAATGTCATAGGTGTGCCTCGTTAAAAACCCTCTCGGCCAAAACCCATTTTTCTATTTTTTGAGACAAAAGACTGAGTCGGGAAAAGAGTGCACGACTCATTCATACAATTTCAAGTGAAGTAGAACTTGAGATGCGTGACATTCCAGGTTCGTGGGATGGCTTTGCCGCTAAGCTCTTCTAGTCGATATGCCCCATTTTGTAAGTTTTCTATGACTCGGAATGGGCCATCCCAGTTAGGCGCGAGCTTCCCTTTTGACGAATCTCTGCGGGCGTTGCCTAGTAGTCGCCACACCAAGTCGCCAACCCAGAAGGAGCAAGGTCGGACTCACGTGTTGTACCTTCTAGAGGCTCGAAGCTTGTAAGCCTCTTCATGAATTTGAGCTTCTTCTCTGAGCTCGTCAATCAGGTCAAGGTTGCTCACAGTCGAAAACATGATGTCAATGAGACGTCTCGCCAACCTCCACTAGGATCATGGCATCGGCTCCATAGGTTAGCCTGTAAGGCATTTCCTGCGTTGATGATTGGGGTGTACAATGGTACGCCCAGAGGATGCTGGGGAGCTCGTCGACCCATTGTCCTTTAGCGCTTCCTAGCCGCTTCTTGAGCTCTCAGAGTATCACCTTGTTTGCAACTTCAGCTTGGCCATTGGTTTGTGGGTGTTCCACCGAGGTCGGGAGGTGCTTGACTCCGACTTTGCGGAGGAAGTCCTCGAAACTCTGCACAATGAACTGTCTGCCGTTGTCGGTAACAAGGGAATGTGGAATGCCAAACCTGCATATGATGCTCTTCTAGGTGATTTTCTGTACGTTCTCGGTGGTGATCTTGGCGAGTGGGCATGCCTCGATCCACTTGGTGAAGTAGTCAATTGCCACTAGGAGGAATTTGAGTTGACTATTTGCGGGGGAAAATAGCCTGAGGATGTTCATTCCCCACTGGGAAAAAGGTCACGAGGACATCATCTGGTGGAGAACCTCGGGCGGTTGCCGATGTGAATTGTCGAACTGTTGACATTCCTTGCATTTTTGTACATAGGCTTGACAGTCCGACTTCAATGTAGGCCAGTAGTACCCAGCTCGGAGTATCCTAGTCGCCATTGAACGTGCTCCAGAATGCATCCCACATATCCCTCGGTGGATCTCCTCGATAACGTAGGTGGCCTGGGATTCCGCTAGGCATTTCAGCAGAGGAGTGGAGGTACCACGTTTGAACAGTTCTTCTCCGATGATGACGAACTTAGCCGACCTTATCCTCATCTTGCGTGCTTCATCTCTGTCGTCGGGCAGAATACCTTCCTTCAGCTAGTTCCAAATGCTTGCCATCCATCCTCGTTCTACACTGTCACTGGCGTTGACGACCTTATCGTCAAGGCTGGGCGAGTTCAAGGTCTCCTGTATGATGGTCCGATGTTGCTCGGGACGTTTTGTACTAGCAAGTTTGGATAGGAGATCGGCTTTTGCGTTTTGCTAACGCGGGACATGGTGTATGGTGAACTCGTCGAAGGAGGAGATTTGTTGGGAGGCGACATGAAAGTACCTCTGTTGAAGGGTGTCTTTGGTCTGATATGCTCCGCTGAGTTGTTCTACCATGAGCTTTGAGTCGCTATTGCAACTCAGTTTCTGCGCTCTGAGGTTGTGAGCCAACCTTAGCCCTGCTAGAAGCGCTTCATATTTCGCCTGGTTATTGGTCACCTTGAAGCCAAACTTGAGAGATTGCTCTACGGTGACCTTATTCGGTCCTTCCAATATAATACCTGCACCACCACCTTTAGAATTGGAGGACCCATCAACGTGCAAAGTCCATACCTGTGGTTCTACAGTCGAGGTTGGGGTGAGTTCGGCCACGAAATCTGCCAGGCACTGAGCTTTCAAAGGTCCGCGGCTTTCATAC